CTTTAATCTTCGTAACTCCTCGGGGGTAAATAATGCGTAATCTTTTACATACACAAATAACAAAAAAAATCTGGCACGAGTTGTGACGACTTCATATTGCCGGGGCAGGCACAGAAATGGTGACTGTGAACGATGAAAAAAGACGACAGATTTTTCTTTAAAAAAGTCGAAGGGATTGTTAAAAACAGACATTTGCATTTGCCGTATCAGCAATAAGCAAGATGAGAAACGTCCTCAACATGAGTTTTCCCCCCCACATATACGGCCCCCAGTCCCTGCCTAATAGTTCCTTAAAGAACAGAAGCAAGCACATTATCCTTACTGTGAACCTCCATCCATATGACTCACCGCCATGTCAAGGTCCCACAATGCTTCACTCTGGGTTAAAACGGCCGCCTGGCAGGAAAACAATCCATTCCTCTTTTCACGTCTTGGCCGGGGCTGCGTGAGAGGTTCCGCAGCCTCGCGATAAACTCAGTAACTGTTCCCAGTGCGCTTCTCTTCAGAACACAGGTTGGGCAGAAACAGGAAATAGTGATGCTCTTAAATTTCTTCAGAATCAGGACCTTTAATGTGTAAAGGGCTTTGGCGGAAAAATTCTGGCAAAGGCTGAAAGTCTTAAGAGAAGCAAAATATTGTTCGTCTGTGTTCATAAAAAAAGGCCTTTGAAGGTATTATGTGGATGACACAAAAAAACAACTACTGTGACTACTAAGCATCGTATTGGAGAAAGTTTCCATCGTATTCCTGGTTGGCTGAAAGATCTGAAGGCTTTAAATGTTCACAAAAGTTACAACCCTTTCGCTATTCAAAATTATGTAATAAACATAGCAGGACTTATGGAAAAATAGGGTTGGGCCAAATCACATAAAACCCAACCAAACCATTAATCATTATGGTCAAAAAAGAGATTGAGCTTGTTCTTTGTGTCCTTTAATGCTTTTCCTTTACGTTCAGCGCTGGAAATTTCACAAGTACACTTCATGCAATCTTGTTTACTTGCAATTTCGTGAAAATCAGCAATTCCAAGGCAAATCACGTCAGCTGAGTATTGGGTGTATTTTTCCATGGACTGACAGGTGCAGGTGTGTTACCCTCTGGCGTAAAGCATAAACATGCCGGAGACACAATCATGTATAAACCGACAAAATAATCGCCTTGGTTATTAATCCCCTACTTAAGTATCGCATATGACCAAATACTCATTTTATAAACACAGCAGAACAGACTGTATGTATTCACCTGGGGAAAAGCATACAAACTGTTATGTACTTACAGTATTTGCATCACATGTAGGTGTAGTTAACTAGCTCCTCATGGACTGTCTCTCTGAGGTCATGTGACTTGAAATCCGAGGCAGCAATCCTGATATCAGGTTACTTCCAGAGTATGACATTTTGGTATGACAAGGAGACGGGACATGCAGACACGAAAGCTTCTCGCATCCGACATGTAAACATGGCAGCTGATGTTCGTGGTCTGTTTGCCCTGATGACACTATCAGTGCAAAGAGATCCAACCTTTGAGTCTCGACTTGCTGCCTTGAGCAACATTACCAACATTGGTCCCACTTGGGAGTCAGACTAATATTATAAAAATGCACTATGCAAATAAAATTGAGTTAAACTGAATTGGTCATTTGGATCTTTGTGGTGTTAGCTGTATACCCAAGCTACTGGGGGACTTGCATGTTAAATTTTGCTGGGATGGGGGGAGGGTGGTTACATTTAGCCAGCCCACAAACCCATCAGCCCATCAGGAACATGCCCAGGTGACCAGTCCAGCCCTGCCAAGCAATACAACCAGTTAGCGCTGGTTCATGGGTGCAGTGTGAACGCAGAGGAGCTTAGTTTAGGTCCAGAAAGTAAAAATCCAGACCAAGATTTTGTGTTAACCAACCAGTTAAGTATAAAAAGTCACAGAATATACTCAACTGGTTCATTGAAAAAAAAAAAAATCTTGGTCCGGATTTTTACTTTCTGGACCTGGACTATCCCCTTCTGTATGAAAGTGCCCAGTCCCAGTTTATTCCCACATTTTAAGCTTCCCTACAACCATCACCACTTCCTCTATGTCACTTCCTGTCCAGGCTGGGGCTTAACTGTGTTGTTGTCTGCAGCCCATTGGGGACAAACTGATCGTCTACTTATCACAGTAATTAGGACCTGGAGCTGAGTTTGTCTCATTGACATAATCTGCTAAAAATAGGTCACGTTGTGCTTCACTTAAACAGAGTGCTTGTTGTCGATATCTGATTTCGGTCACCGTTGTAAAATTATCCCGGATTTCCTGTTTGAAATAGTGGATAACCCAGTTGTGCTATCGCAGTAGAAAAAATATGATTGTACAAAATTACAACAACGTTTAGTTACAAAACAAGCTTAAATGTTTACCACCAAAGCTGCTGTTCAAAACATGTCATTATGAGGTCAGTGTTTGGTTGAAATTCTGAAAGCATTCTGGGATGCAGCACAATTGTGAAAGAAAAAAATACACAAAACCAGACATCTCGTTTTAATGCTTCGAAACGCAAGAATAGTTTTGGACTTTATTCTGAAATGGTTTTGCATTGCAAGTGTGTTTAGTGGAAGCTTCTAGAAACCTCTTAGATGGTTTATGTTTTGGAAAGGGTTTGAGGGCGGATGGCAGGGAGTCGGAAATGCACATCGCAGTTTGTACTGGCTTTTGGGTGGAAAGTCACACTCTGGCCAAAGTATACATTACAGAGACCTTATCACTGTGACAAATAGGTCCTTCCCATTTAGCAGATCCCAGAAGCTGGCTGGGTGCAGACCGAAGTCCGTAACGAGCTGACGATGTCGCCGCCTAGCTTCCCGCCCGTGGCCTGTGGCGACCCAGCCAAAGCCTGACCGCGATGCCCCCTGGCAAGTAGAAATACCGCCAGCTTTCATGGCAGCTGCTGGAGAGGAAGGAAATTCTTTGTTTTTCATATATAAAATCAAATGACGTGCAAAAAAAAAAAGCAAAAAGTTAATCTGCATCCTTGTTTTTTGAGCCCAGAATGGAAGAGAGGGGGCAAAACAAGTGCCAAGAGACACAGAAGGACTGTGATTTTTGTGTCACCAAATACTTGCGCTTTCTCAACAGAGATGGATGGTTCGGGCTTTATCGGGTCAGTGAGGAATGTCATTTTCTGATAATTTAATCCTCCCCTGCCGGACACCTGATCTGTCTGCCCGCGGGGGTGACAGGTACACAGACACGGCGCCCTGCCCCCGTCCTTATCGCACCCTCCACATTGTGACACAGCCTGCAGGAAGGGTGGGCTGCAGTCTGCACCTTAATGAAGAATCGGAATCGGGTGACCAGCGGAGTTTAAGTCAGTCATCAGGGGAAAAAAAATCAATTATAACCCCCTAAGATGGACTTTACTGCATTAAGCCATCTGTGTGCTACACCATGTCACAGGGGCGATTAGAGGATTTTTTTTTAGGTGGGAGGTATAAGAGGGGGCATAATTCATACAGAAGAGCCAGCCTTATCTTTAGCCAATGATATATTTTGAATCGGTGAATGACAGGAGAGGGGGCACTCTGAGGGCCAATCAGCTTTCACCTGGAGCCAGTTTCCCTCTGGCCCCGCCCCTGTATGCTCACCTGCCACGTCATGTTTACATTTACATTTCACACATTTCGAATTTTTTCCAAAGCGACGTTCAAGTGAGTCAAATAGCACATGACCTTTCCGGGTATAAGTGCAGCTACTGTAGGCTGAGCTTCCAGTTAAAGCTCAAATGTGAGCAGTATTGGAGCAGGAGGTACTCAACAACCTGTAACAAAGCAAGAACCTCATAAGGCTAGAAGCGACATACGAAGATTTGGGGAATGTAAGTAGGGGTCAGGTCAGTACAGCAATTCATGGCACAGACGGGTCTAGGGGCGTTTCTTGAAGGTGGAGGGGGAGTCTGATTACTGTATGCGATTGAGCTGCTCATTCTATCACGCTCCATTCCAGTTATGTGTATCAAAATGCAACAAGACCATTTGCAGTGTGTATTGCACAGAAAAGAAACTACACAGCCTTGTATTCCATTGGCTGGCCTGAAACCAGACATCGCAAACCTCAAAGATGGATGTCATCCTACAGGACACGGACCAGAATGCTTCTGCTGATTACGCATAAGCCATGTCCCTTCGTTGAATGAATTTTAAATATACACCTACCTCGTTCTACATATTTTAGCCAGCTTTTGCTTTTAATCATGCTGTGTTTTACGGTTTGTGGCTTTAGAATAAGAAGAAAAATATTTGATTTTGTATTGTGAGGACAACATCTGTTCAAACTGAACCTAAACGTTCCCCATTAAATGAAGAGTTTCTGACAAAGTGAGATATTCTCATTGCAATTTAAGCATTTGTTCTGTTGCAGATGGCAGGCTAATTCTTGCAGGTACTAAGAGTGGTATATTACATGATTAGTTCCTTTGAATTTATAGTTTATGGCTTTAGCTTGTATGGTTGGCAGATTTCTGAACCAGCATTTATGAAGGTACCTCCCTCGTCCAGCACTTCTAACGATTCCTTCAACATTGTTATTACTTCAAAGAAAGTGGACAGAAGACATTTCTTCTGTGATTTCTGTTGGACATACCAATTTCCTTCTGCGCCTAAGAGGATTTGACTGCACTGCAATGGGATTCCACTTCAAAGCTCTTGAAAAGGCTGGGTTTTGTGACTTTGGACCACGCGACGGCCGAAATGCTCCAAGCGTTGGCCCAGCCATACTCTCCCCGCCATGTCACCCGGCGGGCGGCATCAAGGAGCGATATTGACGTTGTGGTCGAGATGCATCACTGCATCCAGATGAAGGCAGTTGCTACGCTTAGCCATATTGCGGGTGATGGTATCGCAGGAGCTAGATTCACGTCACTTATGAGTCTTTTGTTTCTGCTTTGTATTTTCCTTTCACTTTTTTTTTGCAAAATGCATAAGATGACCCCCAGTTCCTAAGTAAAACACCTTCTCTGCACCTCATTACAGGAAAAACCACCCAATGCAGAATGAAGACCCTTCTCCTCGCGTATGTTAAGAAGCTCCCTGGGTGTGCCAGCATGGATGGAGGTCGTGACCTTCTTCCACAAAGCTCCCATCTCTCTGGCTTTGTACCCGGAGCCCAACTCCGAGTCTGAGCTGCAGAAAAGCTCTCGCCACTGGTGCAATGAGCAGGACGGGCTGCAGATACGGCCTTCTGGCTCCCACTCTGGAAGAGCACAGGAGGAAGCCGGTACTGTTGCAGGCGGACGATATCCCCACGGGCCTGATCGCCGTGATGGAGGTGAGGAGGGAACCTCATCGATGGTGGAGGTCCCTCGGCTACTTCCGGAAGGTGAAGCTCTACAGCTTGGTCTTTGGCCTGGCTCTGACCTTCCTGATCATGACTTCCTACGTCCTCTCGGGCGACAGGAAGAGACTCCTCCTGACGCCATCTCCGTACCATTTACCCAGCTTGGTGAGTCAGGGACCTTTTCCGTTTAACATCACCACATCTAAGGACTACGCCGGCATCAAGCTCGTGGTGGAATCCATAACTTCCAAAGTGCACTTCAGTGCCAGACAGCTTCCAGACACGAAAGATCTGATGCAGAGTGAACCACACGTAAGTAGCAAGTCTGAGTGTTTATTCCTCAAATGCGCTACAAAAGCCTCACTGAAAAATAACCTGAAAATCCATTTAATTAGGATAAAACATTATGGGGCATTGGAGGGGCATAGATACACTGGTAGGTTAAGGGGGGGCAACAATTTATGGGTCCCTTGGATATGAAAAATTATACATCATACCTTTCAAATTCTCCCCACCCCCCGCCCGGCTCGGACCTGCATTTCCTTTAGATTAAAAGTGCCAACCATAGCGGGGGCCGAAGGTAACATTTTGTCAGGGGGTCTAGAATATCTATAGCTACGCCCCTGAAAACATTATACCGAAATTTAAACACAGAGAACTTCTGCGTGTATTATTATTTCCGATTTTATTATTTATGTTTTGTTCAGCTAAATAATGATGATATGTTAGGCAGGAGCATAAATATTCAAAGTAAAGTATGTGTAACTGGTACTGAATTGTGACATAAATGTATGAGTAGAGAGCAATAAACTCCAAGGATTTTAACGTGGCTGCAGAATTGTGTGAAATACCTGGAAGTCAGCTCACAGCTTTCAGACAAAGATCCGTTACATTCTAGCTGATCAGAGGCCACCGGGACTCTCTGCTGACCTGCGGGTTCGTCTCTCCCGGGAAAAACGCCGAGAATGACTCACCTTCACACCTCTGCACGGGACGGCGGTGCGAGAATCCTGGCCGTCTGTCATGTGGCTGAATCTCTATTCCCAGATGGCAGAGTTGGCCGCGTGCTTCTCGAAAATAAAACGCCCGCTCCGAAGGCTGGCTTGAGATGCCGAGACTGGGTCAAGGACAGAAGATAGTTACAACTAGACATGAAACATAGTGGAGACTGATAGACCATGCAGTTTCACTTTTAGGAAGATGATGGAGATGTATTCCCATTAGGGCCGTCTGTGCCGTGGTTCAGTGGGTAGCGCTGTGGCCTTGATTCCTGTCTGCGTGTGTGGGGTCTGCATGTGTTCCCCCGTATCTCCCCATGTCATTCCGGTTTCCTCCTGTGGATCCAAAAACATGCAGTTAGGCAGATTTGGCATCTCGAAATTTCCCGTAGTGATTCAGTGGGCGTATGCCTGAGCATGCCCTGCTATGGACTGGCATCCCATCCTGGGTGTCCTCTACCTCGTGACCTGTGTTTCCTAGGATGAGCTCTGATAAATATGTATACAGCCTGCCCCCCCCCCCCCCCCATCAACTAGTTATGCATTATAGTCATCAACACATTGATGTGTGTATTGCGCAAGTGCATTGGAATGTTCCTTTTCACTTACTCAAGTTTATTTTCCTTTCAGGCATATTGCCGCATATTACAATAATGGGTTTGACCCATTTTGATGGGTTTTGACCGCAAATAGTAATGTTTATTACCTATCAGACACCGTAGCCAGGTGGTAAAAGTATGAGTCTGAGCCTCTCCTGGGGGGGGGGGCACCCCAGGCAAAATTTAAATACATAATGTAAATTTCTCTGGGGGGGATTAAGTGATGGGATTCAAACTTGTGACCTTCTGATGATGGGCCTGGAAGCCTAACTTGCTGAGCCACATTATGTATGTCATGATTTTGGTAATTGATATTTGACACATAGATCATATTGATTTTACATATTTTGTTGAGTGGATGAGCTTCACAGTGTGATCTCATTAACATCACAGATGTTTTCCGTCATCCCCCGGAAATTCCTGCCCGACGTTAAGAACCCCTGCTGGTATGAGGAGCACCCTGGCAATGTCACCTGGTACGGGAGCAACCTGTATGCCCACTACTCCAGGCGCTTTCGCATCGTTTTCGACTACCTGAGGCGTTCCTTCTGGGAACACCTGCATCGCCACGGCGACAAGCACTACCGCATGCGGTGTCTGCCATACTTCTACATCATTGGGCAGCCGAAATGCGGCACGACGGACCTGTACGACAGGCTGAGGCTGCACCCTGACGTCAGGTTCGCCACGCTCAAGGAGCCGCACTGGTGGACTAGGAAACGTTTCGGTAAGCGGGCAAATTCTTTCTCAATACGTCTTTGCAACTTAAATCTAGCTGATTATAGATAACCATCAAAACATGAAATAAACATGTTTTTTGTTGTTGTCTGGGCACTCTCATCTAAGGCTTGATGCTGAATATTGATTAATCGGGTACATTTTAAGGATATCGGTTTCTAAAAAGCCAAATACTTTTTAATGAAGTCAAGCACTTCATTTCAAAGAAAGAACAGAGCAGTACAGGTAGTGAAAAGAATAGGTGTCTGATAAAGCGTGTTTAGCCTGCTGCAACATTTTAACATCTATTGCTGCGAGTGTCTGTTCAAAGAAAATGCTACAGGCTTTTCTCTATACATTAGTATGCCTTTCGGACTGAGCATTTCACAATCCCCCCGAAGTCCGGCCCAATGAGTGTCGGGGAAAAGGAAGGTACAACACAGACTATAGAAGTTGCCGGAGCTTTAGAGAGGCTGTCCCTCTGAGTTCAACTAAGCAGAACCTAGAAAAAATGGTAACAGGTCCCCCAGCATGGTGCATCACCGTTTATTAATTCATTTTGTTGTGGCAGCATTCCAGGCGCACAGCAAGCAATTTCTTGTCAATGAGAGAGCAGGGTTTGGCCTGTACCGGTGCAGTGTGCTGGAGAATAAAGAATTGCAGTAACTACAGCTTCCCCGTCCTTAGCGTATCTGTCCGCCCCGCAGCAGCTGAGCACTGCTGTGTCAGACAACAGTGTAATCGGATATTAGCACGAATGGGACAGACGCGGCCCCCGAAAAGGGCAAGCTTTACACAATGACTTCAGCCATTGCAGCACGCATGAAGAAACCTTGGGTTTTCAAAGACTTCTGACTTTGTTCGTGTTTAGTTTAAATACTTCACACGCTGCAAAACGTAACGTTAACTTTGAGGTCAGATTTAAAGGTGTTAAACCGTATTGTAAGTACAGATCTTTCATTTTTTTGAACGTTTGTAGTAAAGTGCAGGTGGGACCTTCAGTCTGTTTTATTTAACTCTAGAATCTTATCTCACGTGGCACTTCACGTGGTTGAGATCACTGTAAAGGAGCTAATGTTGTATCCATTCATGCCCTTTTGATCGCCTCTTATCCAGTACAGCATCAGGAGCACATTCCAGGAAGCTTGAGCCATTAGTAAGGAGATACTCTGGACAGGATGCCTGTCTATTGCAGGGTACATAGTGACACACAAACACACGCCATGGACAATCTATTTATACAGTATGTACATTTCATTTACCTCACAGATGCTTTTATTCAAGTGACATGACTTTTTTGAGAAAGCAGAGTCAGATGATCACAGGAGCATTTGGGGGTTAAGGGTCTTGCCCAAAATCCCAGTGGTGAAACCACTTTGCAGAGTCTGGGATTTGAATCAGCGACCTTCTGGTCACAAGCACAGCGTCCTAACCTGCACCGCCCCCCATGACATAAGTACACCTCATAGCATGGGTTTGGAGTAAGAGAGGAGGTGAGAGGATGCTAAGTAAACCCATACAAACACTGAGTGAAATGCAGTTTACAGAAACCAAAGCTGGGGTCAGAAATCGAACCAACATCCTCGGTGGAAACATGCTTCCCACCGACCAATCATGCTTTCCTTATTTCGTATTCACCATTCCAAAAAGAATTAAAAGAATGAAGCGTAACACAATGAATTATTAATGAAACAATAATCACCAGCGGAGATGGTGGGATCTTGTCAGAGAGGAGAATATTCTTCTGCTCTGTACGTTCTTATTTCAGAATAGCACAGTTAGGGGACATTAAAATGAGTTCGCTTGAGGCCCTGGCACATTTATCGGTAAGTGTTCAATAATCATTTTCCCCGTAATCGTTTTTATAATCTTGCCGGATGAAACTGTTGATTCATATGAGCGTTATTCAGAATGCAGAGTAGTTCTTTCCCTATGGGGGGCGGCGGCGGGTGGAGGGGGGGTGGGTTTACCCCCGACCTCCCTTTGGGGGGGGGGGGGGGGTTCAACCCTATCCCAGAGCCTCTGATAAGACGCAGCCTTTCCCAATTCATGAAGTGCCCTTAATTGCTGAAAATGTCTACCCACCAAACGATCAGTAATAATATGTAGCCGGTGACGACGTCTAGGTGTCAGAGTGACAGTGACAGAGACTGGCAAACGCAAGTGGCTTTGAGGAAGCCCATCTGCGCCGCCCCATATCTCACTCCAGTTCTGTATGTACAGTAGCACTTTTCGCCGGGAGACCACCTTTACCTCCTTAACAAAGGTTTGGCTACAGCAATAGCAGCGTGGATGAAAATAACAGCAGACGATGTGAATGTAAAGTAAGGGAATACAAGGAGAAAAAAAAACTCTGACAGTTACAGACATGCTAATTTAATACGAATCAGAACAAAGTGTTTTCATTCATTGACATTATCTTCCCCAGACCTGTAATAGTAATAGAAATCTCAGAAATTCACGTTTTCTATTTGCATTACAATATCTGTGACGAATACAGCAGAATATATCAGTACTGGTATTTAATAATACTGGAAAACTGACAGATATAGGATATAATTGTAGAATATGCTTGTAAATGGAATACAGATGCACATTCAACTTGAAATTAGTGTTCAGGTATCAAGGTTCACTTGTCAACTGTCATTGCTGTACAGATGACTTACAGGTTTAATTCCTTAATCAATGTCACTACAAACACTAAACAAGCATGTTTATTTGCCTGTAAGACTTCTTATTTATGGAACGGGTGTCGGATTGTGTTGAAGGAATATATAAATATTGGTGGCGTTTCCCAGGGAGGGCAAATGCTGTCGACTTTGCTGTCAGAGAAGTCCAGCACCCTTACAATAAATCGAGACTGACTTGGGCACATTTTCCGACGCCGGCCCTGGTCGCGTTAAAGTGCATCTCAGATAACATGGGACAGCACCATTTTGTCTAACATACAAAACAACGCAGAGAGTTTTGAAATCATAATGCATATAGCCAACGACTTAAATCTAAAGAAAAATCCTAACAGCAGGTTAATAAAATAATAATTTCTGGGCTGAAAGAATATCAGCTGTTATGGTGAAGTTAGTTTATAGCAAACTATAAAAGCAGGAAGAGATGTGATTAGGGTATATATAGGGTATATAATATTTTTTAAATTAATGTTTGAAATAGTGGCTCTAATTAAGAGAAACTCAGGGATAGTTTTGCTATAATTCTGCTTAGCTTGCATTTACCTTGTGGCTCGTGTGTGTGTGAGAGACACCATTTTCTGCCTTTGCTTTCATGGCTGCTGAGGAATTCCGCTCCCCCAGGACTGAATTTCCAGCTCGGGGTCCCTGTCTTTTTTATCTTCTTTCATCTGCCTCCTGTCCTAAGGGACGCGACAGGCTCTTTCATTGGAAATTCCCCCAGAGTTGCCACGTTCCTGTTGGCCTGTTTGCACATTCACCCAGTGCTGTGGGTTCAGTCGGCATAAAAGCACCGTAACGTGATGGGTGGGCGTCCACATCCCGTGTGGTGCGCTTCCTCATTAACGGCCTGAAAACCTTTTAAGTTGAGGTGATGAAAGAAGCGATGCTGTTACCTACAATCTCATGCTGTCTATCGGCTCTTACCGCCCCCCACCGTGGGTCCCAATCCCCATTTCTCCCCATTTCTCCCACCACCCCCTCCCCCCAAGTGCCTCTAAAGATCGTGAGCCAAGCCTGGATGTCTATGAGGCCCACAGTGCAGATTCTCTCGTGTCTTTGGGCTCAGCCTTCCAGAGGAGATGCACCTTGCAGTCCCAGTCATTAGCATCCGATAGACCATGTTCGATTACCGCTTTCGGAATCGTCGCTCCACCATTGCGCGTTCTCCCAAGTGTGGCGTATCACTGCGTAGACCAGAAGACGAGCCCCCCCCCCCCCCTCCCCCGGCTCGATTTATTCTACAGAATCAAAGTCAAAGCAATGGTGTCTTTCCTTCTCGCGTTGCTACAGATGCTAATTTGTAGGGAAGGGTTTTTCACCTTGAGAAGCAATACGCTCAACTATACTACAGACCAGGAGCATTGCTTAAGACATCCACAGCTTAGCCCTGGTTCTCAAACCGAGAGCCTGCTTGTTACAGCATCTGAGCTAACAAATCATTCGGGACTCATTTACATTGAAGTGCAGGCTTCAGCCCTGGCCGTGTAACACGGAAGATCCCATAACAGTAAACAGACGTGAATGATTATCGATTATCAGCCTGGCCAATCCGCACCTTGCAGGGATCATCCGGCTGAGCGAAGGATTCCACGAACGCTACCCTGTCGATGATTACCTGGATCTCTTCGACATGGCCACGTACCAGATCCACGACTACCTGCGGTGGAACCAGACCGGGGATCCCGATCAGCGCAAAATCATCATAGGTAACTCCTGCACTCAACTAGGAAGCCACTAGATCTTAGTTGAAGTCCACCTGGACTTCATGCCAGCAAAGTGTCCATTATCCTAGTTCAAGTGTGAAAATTGATGTGAAACAGAAGTTGAGCTTAGACACTAAACTGTGAGGAAAAGAAAAACATTTCCTGGAAATAACATCTTTTCAATGCCAAGTCTCAATGGCGCCATTAAGAACAATTGTATTGCTGCGAAATTGTATTACTGTGAAAATATCAACACTAGACATTTCACCAAACTTGCCACTTCTTTTTGTTAACTCTTTCCATAAAGTTCAGTGCTGTCATGGATTTAAAGACTTTTGATTGTTGCCTCCACGATTTCTTCTCAAACATATAAAAAAGTTTCTGAAAATGACTTTTAATGGAGAAGAAACTTAACTGTGTTTGCAAAGCTTATAACTTCTGTCGGCTCTCTTGTCTTCTCGTAAAGTGAGTCGAGGCATGATGGGGGTTGCTGGCGATGATTCCAAGCCCCACGAGGCCCCCATCTCACACAACCCCATTTTGATTAGCATCCGTGGTCATGATTAGCATTAGCGGCACGTTATATCCTGTGTGCCCTCCTTGCATTCCGCACGGGCCGAGCTTTTCATTTGGTTTGGTTTCGTTTCATTTCGTTATTAAAAATAAAAAGATTTAATAGCTCCTCACCAATCCGGTAAACTTTTCCATCAGTTTTGATTGCTGCAATATAATGTTTATTGTTGCACTTTTACTTGGCCATGTGCGCTGTTTCCCGGTGATGAGCTGAGCAGAATATAAAGTGTAACGTTGAACGGTGCGTTTCGGCTCAAAGCTACATAACATGCTAACTCTCACCCGACTGCATCACTTTCTGATGGATGGGGGACGTGCGTGACGATGCCGAACATTACACGGCAGGCTGCTCTGATTTAACAGTCAATGGTCACAACTCGTGATCACAAGACTAAACCGACAACAAACCAATCAGTGCTGTCCATCTGCTCAGCTGCTGAAGAACTCCGTGACTCGCTCTGTTTTTGTTTTGGTGACGGTCCTTTTGTTTTTAACGTTTGCTTCTGTGTTTTTAGTCATTTGCTCCAGCCCAGCATCACCGATGTCACTAAATGACACAGAGCCTCCCAATAGACGCTCGTACGCCGCGACAGCTCGTGCTTCACTCCAGAAGGCCTCCGATTCGCTCCCTCCTGCTTCTTCTGATTCTTCTAATACTACAACTTGGTGCTTGGAGTTAGCGGGAAATCCGGAGTGTCCCTCACCTCCCTGCTACTCTTAATAAATGTCGTCTTAAAAGCTCAGGCGGCTGATCCTGTCTTGAGTCGCGACGTATGATTGAAGAAGATGGGCTGATTGTGTTTAATCAAGCATAATTGAGTTCATATAAAAGAGCACCACAGTTAATTAGCCAGTGCCTAAAAGCTCTGTCTCTTGGCTTAGGCCCTTGCCCTTCACTGATGCCAGGTACAGTCTAGGGAATCCTTGGACACCCTTGGCGAACAATCTGTATCTCAGATAGCATCCGCCGTCTGAGCTTTTAAGACTACATTTATTACATTTATTAAGAGTACAGTCTATGCTTACAGCTTGGAAAAATATGAGACCGATTGTCCTTTACGTATTGCATTAGACCCTCTTGAGTATGTTAATTGAATATTAATTTATTCAGGCATCCATTGATTGGAGCTGTAATCAGTTTTTAAAAAGACATTAATGAACTACAGAAGACCATTAAATAGCACTCAGATATGAGGATTTACTATGGATTATTAAGTCAGATGATCTAGTGTAGATATTTTCACAACCCAAGACTTTTGAAAGAAAGTGATTCAGCTGTTTTTTTTCCCTGTGGACTTGAATACTCTAGCCAGAGTAATCCTTTGTGAATATTCATATATATTCCATGTAACTGATGCAAACTGGACTGTGATTTTCCTGGTGGATGCCCTGTGACTGTGATTGGTGTTTTGTCTGTGGTGGGCAGGCTGTGATTGCTGTTCATCATTTTGGTTGATTGTGATTGGTATTTCATATTTGATGGGCAGGCTGTGATTGTCATATCATTCCAGTTGACTGTTATTGGTGTTTTGTCTCTGGTGGGCCGGCTGTGATTGTCATACTATTTCAGTTGACTGCGATTGGCGTTTGTCCAACAGGCGAGGCCAGCGCATCCACCATGTGGGACAATAATGCATGGGTGTATTTCTACGAGAATGCCACAGATGGAGAGCCCCCGTTCCTGGTCCAGGACTTTGTCCACGCTGTGCAGCCAGATGCCCGGCTCATTGTGATGCTGAGGGACCCTGTGGAGAGGTGGGTTATGGGTATTTACTGCCCAGCTTGTTGTACCAGGAAGAGAAAGAGTTATACTTTCAAATGCCCATAGGTGTGTTTCACATTATAATGTACTGTTACTGTATGTGGGTGTCTTGCTCTCTCTTTCTCTCTCTGTCTCTCCCCCCCACACACACACATATATATGTATATATATATATTTAATGTTTAATGTTAATGTTAGTATGAATTCTACAGTCTGATTTTTCCATTAAGAAATACCCAGTATCCAAAATCATCATAGATTTCCTAAGTTTTTTTTTTTCCAGTTCAGTTGTTTTAATTGCTTTTCAAAAATGTATGTTCTGCGAATATTTCCTAAAATTATATAAGAAAAAAAACATGCATCACGTTTATTTTCAATCTCTTGAAAATAAGGAATAGAAAATCTGGTAACATTTTACTTGACACGGCACAAATAATGCAGCAATATGCTATTACTTATGTATTAATTAACCACTAACTCTATCTGTGTTACATACTGATCTCATGTTAATTCATCGTTAGTGAATTGTGATGCAGGTTATATCTCAAGCATTCACTGTATTTGTTATTGTATCTGTTAATACTGTAAACCTTTGTGAACTACTGAAGGAACAAGTAAAGGAACAAGGAACAACGCAAGTGAAATTCTGATCTCATGTTTGTTCATCATTATCATCATTAATAAATCCTGACATCTCATCACAAATAGCCATTATATTTGTTCATGATTTGTTCATGATTTGTTCATGATTTGTACTTCAGTAGTAACTGAGTTATTACTAAGTATTTGTACCCCATCAAGTAAAGGGTTACCGAAAATCTGAAGAACAAAGGCTTCATTTGATTTCATAGGCACAGAAAGGATGGTGCTGATTGATGGAATGGTAACCTGGTACCGCTGCACTTGCTAACTAAAGACACTCTCTGGCAGGTTATACTCCGACTATTTGTACTTTGGCATCGCCAACAAATCGGTGGAGGATTTCCACGAGAAGGTGTCGGAGTCCCTGCAGCTGTTCGAGGCCTGCCTGATGGAGTTCTCCATGCGTTCCTGCGTCTACAACACCACCCTAAACAACGCCATGCCTGTAAGCTCAAAAACGGACTCGTCCTGTTGTTCATGGCATCTAATATATGAAGCCGTTTTAACGTTCAAGATGGTGGTGGGGTGGGGGGGGAGGAAGAGGCATGTGTTTATCCTTTTAATAATAAAGAAAAAAGCCCAGAGGAGCCACAGTATCTGTTCTGAATGGGGGGGGGGGCAGGTTACCGCATGTGCCACACTGCAGTAAACATTCGACTGACTCAGCAGGGTAAGTGCGACCATTTTTGTGGTCAGTATCCCTGAGTAAGAGGAGGAGAGTGGAAGTAAGTAAAGCCCAGAGTAGCCGCCTACTGAATAGTGGGCCGGGATCCAAAATGTATCCATTTTATTATGTCCTGGACTCCAGGGCTCTGTTGTTGTTAGTCTGTCCTCTTTCTGTAGTGGAGAGTGCAAAGATCATGGGAAAGACTGCTGCCATTTCCTGCTGGCTGAATTATGAGTGTCGTGATACCTTAAGACCCGCGGTGCATTCCTTGTCCAGCGCTCACATAAGTCTGGAGAAGAGGGATGGTGCTTCGGAGCATGTGGAGGGTGGGGATACTCTGTTCTGTCAGTCTGCCTGCTTTCATCCGAAGGGCATCGGCGAGGCGACCAATGGGAAGTGAGGAAAATGATTGGCGGCGTGCGATAATCCCGCCCACTGCTGGTTTCAACGTCTCATTTTTCCCTGTGACTGAAGTGTGCCGCGGCAACTCGTGACTTCTGATTGGAGGAGATGGACTGATTGTGTTTTATCAAGCATAACTGAGTTCACATAGAAGAGCACCACAGTCAATTAGCCAGTGCAATTTACTTTATGCAACACAGACTAGCTAGAGAAAATATAATTAGGTTATTTAACATGCTGACAGTCGGTGATAATCATTCTGACAATCACTGAGAAACAGGTGAGAGCATATTTAATTGTCTCTGAAATAGCTGCATGGACGATAGACACAACAGCTGCCAGTTTCCCATTTTGCACCGTCTTGCTGATGTACCTGTGTCATGCGATAGAGGTTGTCAGCAATCCAAAACGTGGCAGCTGACGCAGAGCGAAGTAGAAGCCTAGCATATGCATTTCATCGGCGCAGTTAGAAAATGTAATGAAACACAAGACAAAGATATGAAGTGTCCATGTTGAAAGAAACCCTGTTTGACTTCCGGGGGGGGGGAGAATACAGCCTAGGGTGGCATCTCCATCTGTCTACTGTTGCAAGGGCTACAGCCAGCCTGTGAGTCCAGACGTTCGTTTTGGCGGGGGGGGGGTGTGAGAGGCTGAGAGCCCGGCGATGATAGACGGGGGGGGGGTCTGTGAAATGAGCCGTCCTCACTCTCCGGATGGACCGGCTGTATCCTGCTGTTACCGCTACAGGGACTTGTTACAAACGACCCCCCCCCCCATCCACTCTACGGGAGAAAAATGCCTGGGTAGATAAAATAAGGAGCCACATAAGTTTCCCAGGAGGAGTAACTCCAGTCGCCAGCTCTGGCTCTGACACCAAAGCGAATCCTCGTGCCAATGCAATGAGGCCGTATTAAAATGTAATATCAAGTCTTCATTCTGCTTTCTGCTTCCGCCTCCAGGTCAGATTACAAGTTGGACTGTATATAGTATACATACTCGACTGGCTGACAGTCTTCCACAAGGATCAGATTTTAGTTCTTCGACTGGAAGATCACGCCTCGAACCGAAAATATACCATGCACAAGGTCTTCGATTTCCTCAGTCTGGGTATGTGATAGTGAACTCTGCAATCACTATGATGCCGGTGAATGAACGCAAACTACATTCTTCTGTCAAACACTGTGTGTAGAAAGTACACAAGCTCGGTTTAAAGGCCTGCGCCTCTTTCTGGATGTCAGGACACGTACGCGTGTGACTTTGCCCCTCAAGAGAACGTGTTGTTGGGAAAACCCTTCATTCCCCCTACAAAGATGCGTCGATGCCCTCATTTAGCATTAAAGACCCGTGGGCTAAAGACGGCAGGTACCTAGATCTTAAGAATCAAAGCTCGTACCCCTGTCAAAACTCCCCAGTGAGGTTCTCATTGTTACAAAAACGGGATAAACATTGCGTCTTGACCTCACAACCGCCGGCTCTCCTGTCTCCTTTCCCCAGGGCCGTTGACGGAGCAGCTGGAGGCAGAGATCACCAGAAGCCCGGCATCCAACACCAGGAGGCCTGCGGACAAGAGCCTGGGACCCATGCTGCCCCTAACCAAGCAGATCCTACAGGAGTTCTACTCGCCATTCAACGAGAAGCTGGCCAAAGTGCTGCGCAATGACTCATTCCTGTGGGGAAGCGGCGAGAAGATCGCGTGAAGGACCCCCACTCAGATTACCGCCACGCGGGGCTTTTCTACGAGACTGCCAGCCCTGACAGGGCTCTTTCCATTTTTATTTAAATTATTATAAATTGTCAAGGAGAGAATATCTCATACAGAATGGCACAACTCATATTAATCAGTCATTATGACCTTGTTTTATATGTTTAAAGGGAGCACTTTTCCATTTTTTGTCCTGAATTGTTTTTAACGGCTCTACATTAAAGGAAATATTACATAAGGAGTTTGTCTATGTGCTTTTGTCACGGAGAAGAAATGTTCTATAGGCTGTTATCGTAGGGCATTGAAAAACGATCCAATTCCATACACAGCGTTCCTGCCTTTTCTTAAAAAGGTACGTAATATAATCGTGCTGTATTTAAAGAACGACTCAAACACTTCAGATCACCGTCACGTTCTAAATTCAAGCAGATATGTTACAATACCACCCCCTGGTGACAAAATTCAGAAATGCACACGTAGGACTAGTGACCCACGTCACTGAAATTATAAATTCAAGCCTCATTCGGCATCTGTTACAGCTATTTATATGTATCCCTTCGGCCGCGAAACGAAAGCTTGACATGGGATGACACTTTCTTCCCGTTCATCATGGCGTTAGGTCACCGATGCTCGTAAGCCGGTACAAAAGTACCAGCATTAAAAGGAAAATTTAGCCCTGCTTGCCTTATGCTACCTATATGACATTTATATTTCTGCAGTTAATTCGCTATTATTTCTCAGCTGTATAAACAAATGCATGAAAAATGATACGATCAGACCCATTGAGGTCGTATTAATGTTACATGCCGATGTGACTTTTGGGATGAATTATTAATTATTATTTGCAAGATTTTGCCTTATTGCTGATTGCTCCGTGCATTGCTCTGGGGTATTAGCTAAATGTGTCGGGTGCCTTCATGCCTTAATATTCATTCTACACGGCGTATTTTGATAGAAGTCTGCCTTCCAGAACAGTGTTTCCTGTCTGCAATCTGCCAACACGTCCTGACCCAGTGGCCCAGTGAGGCAGTCAAGTCAATACAATGCTTCCCTTACTACCTCGCAGGGTTTATTTCAGATTGATGGACTCCTGTGCCAATCTGATTGCAGGCTGGCAGATGGCTGTGTATAACGGCTCAGCCTGGGTATAGTCATATTATCTTAACCTCTACAGCCCCGTTTAATATCTTCATATAACATCCTCACTCATGATAGTGATTGTGTCTGTACTAAAAAAATAAATAAATAAAAATTGTACCAGCAGTCCAGTTAAACCTGTTCAATTCATATTCAGAAAATCATAATTTCGGAGATGCATTGAAGGTGTCTTTGTCGCCCTCTGCTGGTTAGGTAAGGTACACCACAAGATCTCCCGGCTCCACACAATTGAGGTACAAACTGGCCTAGACTTCACCTTGAGTCAACCCACATTGACTCATAAATTGTCTCTTCTTGCCCAAAGCCCAACAATACTGAGATAGGAGGAGTTAGCAAAGACGCCGTTATTATGCATAAGCGCCAGCAGCAGTTTGCGACAGGTTAGAGGCAGAGGTATGATGACGCAGAAATGACAATACAGTAAATCCGCAGACTAGGGTCTCTGCAGTGACCAGCTGTCTTTTCTCAGTGGCTTCATCAAGTACTAGATGGTCATCGCCATGCAGAAGCTATTCAATAGAGGCATTATGGATGTTTTAAGTCAGTAAATCTCAGCTGATTTCATTCACAGAAAACCATACTTTCATATTGGTCTTATATATTACTCAGTAGGAGAAATACTACGTAACGCAGCTAATTGTGTTAAATTAACACAATTTTTCCTGCTTCACACAACTTCCCCTGAGAAGACAGCTAGTTAAAATTTCATTAAATTCAATCTTCAAAACTTTAAATAGGGGTTTGTTCTTGAAGAAGCTATAAGTAATTAAAAGGGAAAATGTTTGTGTTTTCCGATTGAGAACTAATCAGTTTCGCAGAACTACAATAGCATGCTATTTATGATTAAAATAAAGCAAAATAAGCAAAATACACCCATTGTTATTATAATGAGCCTGAAACCTATTAATTCATAACCTATTAGTTTAAAAAGTACTTAAACATGATAGACTCCATTCAGCCCTCACCTGGCCCAGTTGGACTTAAAAGAAAATAATCTAGTTTTATACATAAAGCTGTATATATTCAAATAAATAACTGTGAAGTGCCTATTACAAATATTAAATAATTAAACTGAAGAATTCTGATGTGATACAGTTGTATTATTTCAAAGTTTAAATAGTTTAAAGGTAAAAGAAACTGATTTTATTTGCACAAGTACATTGGAATGCGTCTTTTCAGATTTCACGTGTCCATTCCTGGGCGAAAACGCAGGCCAGACCCGAAACTGCAAACCATGAGGCTTTTAACAGCAAATAGCCAGAAGATGTTTTGGAAAATCTGAAACACCCAGGCATCTGTTAGCTTGAATTTTATATCAGACATTTCATCGTTTTATCTTTGTGTACAAAAAGGCTATGCGAGTGAATTTCTGTTTCCAGATTTTTTTCCACCACACTTCACTGCAGCAGTGAGCAGCGAGCAGCGAGCAGCGAGCAGCAAATGATGGCACAGGTCTCTGGAATGCATTTTAGTTCATGCTAATTATCTGACCAATGACTTGTTGTTAAAATCTTAACCGCAAATCTTAATATTTGGCAAGTGGCACATTTTTCTTTGCTTAGATACAGACCAGCCCCCATGGAGCATTTTTTTTGGGGGGGGGGTTAAGAGCCTTGACCAAGTGACCCAAATTGTTGCCTCACAACTCCGCTTCTGGGGGTTTGATCCCTGTGTGGAAAATCAGGTGGGATCATTGGAATGTGTCCCTTGCTAATCTCTCTTTGCAAAGCAAGCCATTTTTCTTTTGATTGTTTTTAATAATTTTATGGAAACTGACAGTATTACCCTTGTCCTACACTAGGGGGCAGGAAGTCACTTCAGAAAAACAGTATTTCATTCTGACCCAGTATAAATTACACGCATCATTATTATTATCTATCAGCTAGCCACTTAACTTGGACTGGGTTATTGGGCCTTGGAGTACGTCCCAGGCCGTAGAGGGAAAGACACCGTGTGGCCCCCTAGGGCAGATGTCAGTCTATCAACAGCAGAATTCCTCAGACCTTTACCAGGAAAAGGTGTTAGGAGATTAATGGATTATTATTATTTAATCTATATTCATCTGGGCCACAGAGTTTTCTGTTTAATAAATAAATAAACGACAGAAAAACAGACAGGTAGATTAATCATTTGGATACAATTTCAGCAGCAAGTCAAAGAAAAAAATGAACACTACAGCTTTTAGGTTCAAGAACCAGGGATGTCGGTCAGGCCATCAAAAAAAGTAGCCTTCATTAGGAAACATGTGAATCACAGTGAACAATCCATAATTATATTATAAGCACAGGTTTAATCCTTTGTTATTGCATTACAATCTGTCTCTTTCAGGTTCAAAAGGGTGATTCCAGACTTAAAAAGAAGACAATTCATCCAACTGGGTACGTTTATTGGGCACCTGAAATTATCTGTCCCCAACCTACGCAGGCTGCTTTGAAAAAATCTGTTGCCCGGAGGGTATGACATAATGCCACGTGCGGCAAGGCATGCTGAAGTCTGGGCAACAAGGTTGTAATGGCTTTGGACGAATGTTTCTTTAAAGCATGACCTCACCTTTACCACTGTGCCACTTAAGATCCTCCTGACAGATTCCCAGCTGCTAAAACTCCAGCTTCCAAGTTCAAGAGTCAATTTCAAGTTTAAAGTTCTATTGTCACGTCTTCCAAGGAACACAGTGAACTTATTGTGCCACATTGCAGGACAGAGAGCAGATGCATGGAGGGACAATAGGACAAACGACAATGCAATACAGGACAAGAGAGTGCAGGACAAAGAGCCCAATAACAATGACTAAACAATTAGTAATAAATATATGCAATGGCGGTTCTAGAAGGATGCGTTCTAGTATGTGAGGGTTCTCTCCTGCTCACTCATGCACAAGTCCTGCTTGTTTTCCTCCTAAGCAGGGGAACATGTCGGCTTGGTCGGGCAGATGGGAACACGCATGATAGCTCGGCAAGCACATGGCAAAAAAAATAATACACCCCCAATTCCAAAATCCTTAGGTCGCCTAAGATGACTTCATTTTATTTGCATATTCCAGTTTCGACCAGCTGCAGAGTTTAGGACATCTACTTTTTGTTAGAATCATTTCTGAAGGGACGTGAACCTCTTCTCAGCGGTCATCGTTAAAAAGCTCTTAGGCTGATTTGTGCAGAAACCACTTTCTTTCCCCACAATGACATGAAAGCAGTCTGCCCAGCTATGCTCAGAATACTTATGATGATTTTTGGAAGCCGCACAGAGCCCTCGGTGATAATGTAGCCTGCGGTATTGCTTTTTTTCATCTGCACGTTTATTTATTCCCTAAACCCATTCATTAATCTTACAAATTGCTGTTTCTCAGTCCACGTGAAGGATGACTGTTGGTGTGCTTTACATTCCAGAACGTTATTTATGACTTACCAATACGGCCCCGCACCGTTTAATGAGGGTCCCAGAACTCCTGGAGTAAGGTGATCCTAGAACAACGTTCTGTTACGCTGAAGCTGAAGCCAATGTGGTTTTTTTCACACTAACTAGCTGTTCTCGCGACTAACTGGTTTACCCACGTGGGCAGGAAGAAGACGTCTGTCTTAAAGAATTGAAAATGTTTTATTCAGGTGTAACAGGATATACAAAAGGCTGATGCGATGAAAATGAGAGCCCATAGAATTGCCACAGCACTGGCATATCAAAAAAGAAACTGTTTAGGCCCTCGACATTGATTGGTATTGAATGACGATTTAAAATAATCACATTTATTAGAAAGCAAATCTCATATGCAAAGCAAGCGAGAACATTCAAAATTATTTGTTAAAAAGAGGCCATGCCCTATATTATTCTCTTGACGAACCACTTATAAAGTTTGTTTGCAAACGTTGAACGTTTGTTTGCTAAATATACACACAGAAGGAAGAAAATGAAATATGGGGGACGTTTTATGAGAATTGTGAGATTAATGAGTAGGTGGGAGAGGCACGAAGAGGGAAGGGTTTCTGGTGGGGGCTGGGGTGGGGGCTGGGGGGGGGCGGGGGGGGGGGGGTGCGCTTGGAGACTACCCCCCTCTTCAGAGCGAAAAAAAACACTCTAAAAAGTAAAAGT